TAAAAAAAAAAAGTTAGAAAGAAATAAAGAGATAAATCGGGTTCTCTCTTTTTTCCTCAACTTGATTCACACTGGGGAGACTCTAGTAATTACTATGCCTTTATACTATGCCTATATGGGCGACAGGGTGAGACTCCAACTCAAAAAAAAAAAAAAAAAATCTGAACTGAAATAATCATAAAGGAATGTGCTTTGTCTGTAGTGTGGCTCTTTGTTTAGGTTGAAGGTTAAGGCACTTGGCTCTCTGGGTAATCTTTCATGACAGCTGTAAATCATACTATGTCTTTTGAGGGATTCAGTTTTAAGTTCCAATCTCATACATCATCAAGAAGAATGCTATCTCCCAAATAATTATTTATATGAACTTGGGAAAAGAACAGTGGATTGATAGAGAAGGAATAGCTGCTTCTTTACAAATAAGTATCTTCTGGTGATATTGAACAAGTCATGTACATTTAAATGTTATGTGGTAATTCTCAGTGAAAGTCCTAAAGATGCAGATCTGACCAGGAAAAAAGGCAGCCCCCTTGGAATGCATCACATTCTGGACTTTTGTTTCCCTTCTCTAGTGGCTTCTGCCATGTCTTGAATTTCTCATGTAAGTAATAAATGTGGTAGAAGTCAGTGTAGAAAGAAGAGTGGCGAGAGAGGATGAGAGAAGTTTCTCTGCCTTCGTTTCATAGTGCTGCTTCCTTAGGCTCTAGTGGAGTGGTTCTCAACCTTAACTGCACATTTAAATCAGAGTTGAGAGGCTCCATTAAAAAAAAATATATAACTATACCTGAACCCTATGTCGAGATTTGGAGTTAGTCGATCTGGTATGTGGTCCCACACAGGTATTTTTTAGACAGTTTCTATGTAATTTTAATGTGCTGCAGGGGTTGAGAACCTCTACTTTTAGTGGTATTCAAGTGTGTGTGTGTGTGTGTGTGTGTGTGTGTTTGTTGGAGTCTCGCTCTATTGCCCAGTTTCTATGTAATTTTAATGTGCTGCAGGGTTGAGAACCTCTACTTTTAGTGGTATTCGTGTGTGTGTGTGTGTGTGTGTGTGTTTGTTGGAGTCTCGCTCTATTGCCCAGGCTGGAGTGCAGTGGCCTCAATCTCCTGGGCTTCGGCGATCCTTGAGTCAAAGGATATGTATATCTTTTATTTCAGAACAGGTTGTGCCACCACACCCAGCTAATTTTTGGATTGATTGTAGAGACAGGTCTGACAAATTGCCCAGGCTGGTCTGGAACCCCTGGGCTCAGACAATCCTTTCGCTTCCGCCTCCCAAAGTGCTGGGATTACAGACGTGAGCTACCACGCCTGGTTTTTGCTTGTTTGTTTTAACAAGAAGTTTTTGTATGTCAATAGTAAGAAATCTAATTTTTCTTTTTGATGACAAGTAACATAGATGAACCACAATTTATCCAGTGCTTTAATGGTGAACACTTCAGTTATGTATTAGAGTACAACTTCTGGACGTAAAAAAATCCCAATATATAGTGGTTTAAACACAATAGAAATTTTTTAATTTCTATCTCATGAAATATTTGAGAGGTAAGTGGAAACTGGTAGGGAACTTGGCAGAATCCTTCATTGCATGATTTTCTCTGAGTAAAAATGGCTATTGCAGCTTCCTTCAGTTGTATACCAGCCACAAAAAACAGGAAAGACAGCATATGCTACTCCTTTTACATGCCACCCAAAAGTTCTGAAATGTATCCTGTTGTCCAGAAAGTCATCATGTGGCTAGTCCCACCTTCAAAGAGGGTTGAGTACTCTAGTTATGTACTTGACTGAAACATAGGAGTTCTCTTGTTAAAGGGGGAAACAGGAAGAAAGAACATTGCTGGAGAAGTTGCAGTGTTGGCTACACAGATGGTTTCCTACCTTGCCACTGTAAATCATGTAGCAAATATCCTTGAATATGTTTCTGGGTACATGTATAAGTATATCTGTAGGATAAACTCTTAAAAGTAGAATTGTTGAGTCAAAGAATATGTATATCTTTTATTTCAATATTGCTAAATGTGTTGTGTCTCTGTTTAAAGGATGTAATGGGATCAAAGAAAGAAGCTTCCTTAGGCATATCCACATACACTTAATAATTATGTATTAAAGCTACCAGAACCCATCTCTCTGAAGCCAGGCTCCTAGATTAATGTAAATTAAGAGCCATCATAATCTTAGATTTCATCTGCTGTTTGATGTACCCATGCCATGGGAATCAAGCAAATTAGGGTTCAAATCCAGCTTAGAGAGAGGGAGGCTTTTATAGAGATTTTTAAAAATTGCAAAAGTTTGATAACCATCAATCTTTTTAATGTCCCAATTCTGTCCTTTTTATTACCATGAAACAAAAGGACTAGAGTGAGAACTTTCTGATAATGTTTTTTTTTTTGCAGGGAATTTAACTGATCTTCTGAAAATTCAAGTTGTGCACCACGACTTACTAGTTTGAGTTTGTGCTCTCAACCTCATCTGGGAAAGTAATATAGACAGTTGGACTTATAGAGATCAGTTTACTTATCAAGAGGATGAGCTTTTATGAGAGGAGTGATAAATCTAGAAATAAGAAAGGAAAGCCAGTTTATTGATCTTTGACCACTCAAATTGTCTGTCCCAAGGACAGAGATTAACAGAAGTTTGGCATATGATGGCTTTACTTGAGACCTTATTATAATTAATATCAGGTCTCAATGTGGTTAGTAAGATTATTCTTCTACAATTTGCAGCTTTTGATTCCATCTCTTTATTTTGATAGGTCAGTGCTTTTCATTTTTTAAAAAATAGTAAACTCCTAAAATTGCTGTTAGGAATTAAGCTTTGTGTAATTTTTTTAGTGTAGTGATAGATTATACTAATTCACATTCTTTACTAACATTGTAGTTGCATGTACTTGCAAGATGGCTAAGCAGGAATAGAAATTGGGTTCATGGGGTGACATTCTTTAAGTTGTAACAACACTCTCAAACATTTCTAGAGTGCAATACAGGTTTTCAATGTGTCTATATCCTTATAACACCCTTTTGGGGTTAGGGAGGTGGTTGTATCCTCATTTGTACATCAGGAAACTAAATTTAAAGAGGTTGGTTTTTGTTTAGTATTCCTTGTCTGGGCCTAGAACTTTAGTCTTCTGGCTCCAACAGTACTCTTGACCTTATACCATTCCAAAGCTTCCTCTGTGTAAGGAATAAATTCAGGACTTTATTCTTAATAACTGAGCCAGTCAACCTGCTTAGCCATAGTAGGGGAAGAAGGGGGAAAAGTAAGAATGAGACTCTTGTTATTTTTCTCTCTGTGTCCTAAAACAATAATGAGGTCCCATTGTATTCTTGTTTCCATGGTATAGAGAAATTCTGGTAAGCGTATTCGTTACCAGATGTTTTATTGATTTGAGTCACTGTTGGAAACGGGGCAGTTTCCAATTTTGAGCTTCCTGCAACTCAATAGTGCCATCTGGTGGTAGTGGATAGAGTTATCCTGCTTTTACTCTTGACTGTGGCCTTGTTGATAATTATGAAAGTTGCTAAGATGAAAGTGCATAGTCAGAGGCACTACTGTAATGACATTTTTTAAGTTTTCACCCCTCCAGGATGCAAAACTGACTTTCTTGTAAACACAGAAGCATTACATTTTTTGGTTTAATCCTAAAACTCCCATTTTGTGCTATATTTTTTAAGCTGTGGGTCATGACATGTTAGTGGATTACGAAATTACTCTAGTGGTGGAAACATCTCTGAGTTTATTGCTCAGACATTCATAACTTTAATCTGTATTTTTTCTTCAAATTGTGGATTATAATTTGTTAATGAATTGTGAAATCAAGTTAGTGGGTTCAGCCATCATTTTAAAAATAGATTTTTTAAATAGAATAGAAATTAAAAAGAAAATATTATAGTAATTTTCATGGAGCAAGTTTACGTAAAACTCTTAATTTGTTTTATACGTATATGTTTGTATATATGTGAGTGTACTGGGTCCCAATTTAATACATATTTCTCACTTTGGATTGTCGCCAAGCATTTGAGAGCCACTGATCATTGTCATACCCCCATCTACTGGTACTTAAGGATTTTGCCACTGAAGGATTTTAGGAAGTTAGTAGTCTATGCTCCATGCCTTTGTATGGTCTTTTCCTTTGTGATTTTGAAAAAAATATATATTTTTGAATAATAATATTTGTCATTAACACATGTCTAGATTCTTTCTGATCAATACCAGATGCAAGATGTATTGGAGAAATCTGATCATTTGATGGCTGTGGCAAAAAATCTGTTTCCTCATAGGCGTACAGGTATTCAACTCAAACAAAAGCTTCTTTTCCTTGTTAACTATAGCTCACACCTGATTATTTGAAAGAATTTAAAGTCCTTTCTTAAGCATCATATTATTTGTATTACAAGTGTTCTAGGGTAAATTTACAAGGATTGTTAGGGTTAGAGTCATTATAAATTGTTTGCTTTCCACTAAAAATACTAGCTGATTGTATTACAAATTATTGCTAAAGAAAGGTAAATTATGTTATCTACCAAAATATTTTATGGTGTATTTATAGGATTTGGTGATTTTTTTAAAAATGTAATTTAATTTTCATCTTATTAATATTAAATTACCATATAATTATAATACACGTGTTTTTATATAATTTGAGTAAAGCTTAATTTGAAACCTAAAGCAACTTCTATCTCTCTCTAAAAGATACTTTGTTTCTTATCAAGTAACCAACATTATTAGTTTTAATGTGCATATATCCATTGTTTATCTTAATCTCTAAAAAACAAATCGTTACATTTTAGTACAAGGTTTGAATTATGGCTTGGTCAACTCTTAATATGACTGGGCTAGTTGCTTAATGTCTCTGAGTTTCAGTTTTTTGATCTATAAAACAGTAATAGTACCTATCTCGTAGGGTTTTGAGAGTAAAGCAGGTTAAAAGCAGGTTAACTCTAGATGTAAAAGCATTTAGAGTTAACATATAAAAGCATTTACTGCCTGGCATGTACAATAGTAAGTACTCTATAAATATGAGCTGCTATTATTGTTTAATATTTTCATCTGTGATCCAAACCAATGGCAGTGTATAGCTTGTGACGTCAATTAAGTGAAACAAAATCATCATGACTTATTTTCCTTTCACAGGGTTTCCAAATATAACACTGGCTCCTGATTCCTCTCAGGGTCCCATCGTGGTAAATCAAGACCCTGTCACCCAGTCTGTCCTTAATGAATCTGTCACAGAACCTCAGGTACTGTGTTCTACTCACAGCTATGATGCTTATGCTGAAATAAAGTTTAGGTCGATGTAGGGATTGCAGTTAACATTTTAAAGTTTAAATGTCAACAAATGCTAGTTGTGGTTGCTAGGTTTGCTCTTACTAAAGTATATTGCACTTTCTGTGAGTAGTTTTATACCAAACAAGGTAAGACTGGATAATAATAGCTAAAATTTATTGAGTGTTTATCTAGGAGGTGTAAGTTCTATTATTACTTCTTTGGGACGTGAAGAAACTGAGGCTCAGAAAAATTAAGTGACTTATCTGAGATCACATAGTTTGCGTCAGAGGTGGTATTCAAATCTAGGCCATTGACTCCACAAGACTGCCACCTTCTATCATTATGGAAGCGGCAGGGTATCTTTCCACTTGGAGTCGGTGGGTTTGTGCTCATATTCTGATACTTACTAGTTGTTTGATGTTGAGTCAATTCCTTAAGACAACTGGGTTGGCTCTGAGTGTATTTTGTTTCCTTGTTTTTTGTTAAATGGGAATAGGGTATACCTAATATGGTTGTTGCATGAAGTTATGTACAGTGCCTGGTATAATACCAGAAACATCGTTCTTCCTTAAATTTTAGTCTGTTTTAATGTATTAGTGTGTTTAAGAAGTAGCTGCCCAGGAAACCTGGAATTTGTTAACTGGTTATATAGGAAAATTATAGTAGTAAACATAAATTAGCTCTATTCTAACCTAATTGGAACTCTTAATTAGTCAAAATGCTTAGAATTTTGAGATAGGAAGCAGTTTTTAAAAGCCCATAAAGAATGTAATACTAAAGCCGGGCTCGGTGACTCAGCCTGTAATCCCGTGCCTCTGGGAGGCTGAGGTGAATGGAATGCCTGAGCCCGCGGGTTCGAGACCCGCCTGGCCAACTTGGCGAGACCCCATCTCTACAATAAATCAAAAAAATTAGCCGGGCGTGGTAACGCGCACCTGTAGTTCCAGCTACTTGGAAGGCTGAGGCGGAAGGATCACCGGAGCCCAGCAGGTTGAGGCTGCAGTGGCCGGGAGCGGCCACTGTACTCCAGTCTGGGCGACAGAGCGAGACTCCAACTCAAAAAAAAAAAAAAAAAAAAAAGAATATAATACTAAAATAAGGCAACTTCTTGTGCCTGAGTAGGACTCAATACCTATTTAAAGAAATGTCCTTAGTTATTTATAGCTTCTATGAAAAAAGAGAATCATCAGTTTGAAGGATGATCCTTGGAAATTACAAGGTCCAGAATCACAAAAGACATACGTATTAATTATATTGTTTTCTACTTATATGAAGGAGAATCCAAAAAAAAGCTGAATTGTCTTTTGGTGGGTGGACGCCTCATAGTACATTCAGAATTTGCTCCTCTGGAGCAAATGGTCAGCTAAAGTTTTTATCTGGAAGTTTTGAGACAGTTGCTTCATCCTGAGTTATAACTAACAGGACAGAAACATCCTGAGGTATAACTAACAGGTGACTGGTTCTTCCACCACGACAATGTACCTGCCCGCACCATGCTGAATGTTCAGCAGTTTTTGACCAAAAACAGCATGACCTCTGTGCCCCCACCCTCTCTATTCACCTCATCTTGCCTCGAGCAACATTTTTTTTGTTTCCCCAGATGAAAAAAAGTCCTCAAAGGGAAACATTTTGCTTATGTAGGAAAGGTGAAACAAAGCACAACAGAATCACTAAAAGTTATCAAAATTGACAAGTCCAAAAACTTTTGAGCAGTGGAAAAAGCATCTTGATAAATGTATCGCATCAAAGGGAGAGTACTTTGAAAGTTACTGAAGTTTAAACATGTCAGAATAAATACACAATTTTTATAAATTTTGTTTTTTTGGGTCCCTCATCATAAAGGCAATTAAATAGAATGTTACATATATTTTAAATAGTTAAACCCATAAGTCATATCCTTAGACAAAAGCCATTTGTGTTTTGGCACTTACCGAAAAGTTATTTCAGATAGTTAGAAATTTAATCATTCTAGAATATCTTATTGATGTAGTTTGTTCATCTAAAATTTTGCTTTTATTTAAATAAATTGTATAAGGTAGTGCCTTGTTTGTTTGACAGTCATATTTTTTAGCATTTTTTCAGTTATTCGTAAATAACTGAAATATGTACACAGTGTATCCCAGCAGTATCGAATAAAGCAGTCAGATTTTATTCTGTTGAAAAGTGCATCCTTGCATCTGATCCAGATAAGTTAATACAGTAGTAGAATTTCAATTACTGTTACTGAAATAAATTTGCCTAACTGGTTTAAGTTCTTTTCCAATTTACAGCTGATAACAGATTAAAAATAGGTAAACTTCTCAGTGTAAACCAGAGATAGCAGAGAGAAATGACAATGAGGGAGGAGACATCTAAATAGATAAGAAGACACCTAAATAGAAGCCACCTAAATAGATAAGCGGAATACCACTGTACATTAATTACTGTACTTAAAAAGAAATTGATGTTGGCCAGGCGTGGTGGCTCAAGCCACTGAGGTGAGGGGATTGCCTGAGCCCACAGGTTCGAGAACAGCCTAGGCAACTTGGCAAGACCTCCTCTCTGTAATAAGTCAAAAATTAGCCAGTCATGGTAGCACGCGCCTGTAGTTCAGGCTACTTGGAAGGCTGAGGCAGAAGGATTGCCTGAGCCCAGCAGGTCGACGCTGGGGTGGTTATGAGTGTGCCACTGCACTCTAACCTGGATGATGGAGTGAGACTCCAACTCCAAAATAAATAAGTAAATAAATTGATGTTACTATAGATAATCTTTTTAAAATAATTTTTTGTAAGCCGGGCTCGGTGGCTCAGCCTGTAATCCCGCACTTTGGGAGGGTGAGGTGAGTGGATTGCCTGAGCCCGCGGGTTCAAGAGCCACCTGGGCAACTTGGTGAGACCTCATCTCTACAATAAATAAATGAAAAAAAAAAATCAGCCGGGCGTGGTAGCTCATGCCTGTAGTTCCAGCTACTTGGAAAGCTGAGGTGGAAGGATTGCCGGAGCCCCGCCAGTCGAGGCTGCGGTGGCTGGGAGCGGCCACTGCACTCCAGTCTGGGTGACAGAGTGAGACTCCAACTCAAAATAAATAAATAAATAAAATAAAATAAAATAATTTTTTGTAGAGATGGAGTATCACTATGTTGCCCAGGCTGGTCTTGAACTCCTGGCCTCAAGCAATCCTCCTGTTTCAGCCTCCCAAAGTATTGGGATTATAGGCGTGAGCCACTGTGCCTGACCTTCTATAAATAATCTTGAGTCACCAAGAAAAACTGAAATTGTACCTGCATTACTTATGTTCTCTGGACCCTATTTTCTTCATCTGTAATAGGAATGAGTGAGACTACATTTACTTAGTTATTCATCAAGTAATATTTCTGGTGCTGCACTAGATGCTGGGATACATGAATGAATAAGGCATGTTTCTAACCTTGAGTTGGGGAAGTGACAAGAGCTGAGGTTAGATAGCAGGAGCCAGGTCATGAAGGGCTGAAGAATTGGGAAGTAGAGCCACTAAAGGATTTTAAGAAGAGTGGAGTCATGATGAGATTGAGTATAGTGTGGAAGATGCATTGAAGAGGGACAAGACTTGAGAGAGGGTCTGCTTAAGAAGACTTAGGTGGGAAACTTAGAAGCAGTGAGGACCTGGCCCAAAGCAGTGCCAGTGGGGAAGGAAATAGAGAACAGAGATAGATTTGAGATTGGTTAAAATGAGGCAGAGTTGACAGGCTTGGTGACTGATTGAACATGATGGGTGAAATAAAAGGATAACTCCTAGTTTGCTGGCTTGAGCATTTGAGGAGATGGTGACACTGTTCGTGGTCTAAGGTAATATTAGCAGGAACAAGTTTTCTGGAAGAAGGCAGAAGCTTAGGAAGATGTTCAATTTTTGACCTGTTGAGTGAGGGGTATTTGGTAGGCAGTTGAATATAAATAACTAGAGTTCAAGAGAAAGATGAGATCTGAAAGATAAGAGATTTGGAAATTGACAGCATTTGATTTATAATTATAACTTTGCAGTTAGATCAAATCATTCAGAAAGTATATCAGATGAGAGCAGAAAAGATTCAAAGGGAGGACCTTGAGTCACATGAGGTATAAGGGAAGGGCAGAAAAAAGAACTCCCAGCCGGGCTCGGTGCCTCAGCCTGTAATTCCCCACCTTTGGGAGGCTGAGGTGAGTAGATTGCCTGAGCCCGCGGGTTCAAGACCCACCTGGGCAGCAAGACCTCATCTCTACAAT